CCTTCTATGCGTTTTGTGAGGTAATGTTTTTTCCTCATAATAGTTGTACACTAGTTTCAACCTTTAAAAAGATTTCCGTCTGCAGTTAACGTGAATTATATACAGTAAGTGACACGAAACGGCCAAACTCCCGGCTTAACTCACCTTAATGTGTATGTTACATGGCATGACAGTGTATTTGTTCATATCGATTTGAGAGTGGTCTATGTGTTATCACGATTCAGTGGTTTGCGAAAAAAGGTAGAAAGTGAATGCTAACTTGGCAAAGGAGGAAAACTTTTCAAGGAGAATATTTGTCAATTAAGCGTTATTTATTTGGATAATGGAAAGCCTTTTAAAAGCATAAGGGGCCTACTGTTCGTGAAGACTCATAAGCCTTTTTTGTATCAGTATCTGTCTGTCGTTGAACAAGTGTGAGGAAAGTTGTAATCTTTCTTGACGTCCATCAATTGCCAGAAAATCATTCAGATTGTATTAGTTATAAAGAGAGAGAGAGAGAGAGAGAGAGAGAGAGGAGGTAGGGGGAACTGAGAGAAAGAGAAAAAGGCTAAAAAGAAACATTTACAGCACATTATGCATACATACTTTAGGAATCCACTAGTGTGTCTACCGCATTGGGTGAACCTGGTACTTAACCTGGGATATCAGGATCCCATCTTTACTTTTTATCTATATTGCTAATCATTTCGTTTTGACGAAAAACATGCCTTACGGTAAAATAACACGGGCAGACAGACAAATTGGAACCCTCAGGATAAGCCATTTCATTCCCCGTGCAAGTTCATGTAGCAGCAATTATAACCCGACAAAAAGAAGTTAAGGAGAAAAGCCCGAGGTTTCATGACAAGTATAGAGCCAAAAACAACGTCGAGTCTGCTCGCGGTCTTAAGAAATTTATCATGCGAAAACCCGTCTGCATGTATTTATCAGATACATGTGTGCCTTTTTCTGGTGTACCTTTCCTAACATTCTTTGGCACGTTACTCTCGCAAGGGCGTGATTTTAAAGAAAGGTCTCGCAAGGTCACATCACCCCGAGACCTTTGAATGTACATAATTTGTATCCCCTTCAAGAGAGACTGTCTCTGTGAATAGGTGATGTTCAACGGACCATGACGCATTTTACACCTGAGATATACGTCTTGATCAAGATTAAGTAAACAGTCTCTTGGCGTTACTGAAAGAACCCTTTAGTAATATTTTTGTTATTTGTACAGGTACAAGTACATAGTGTGTCTATACCTTTTATCCTCTTTAATAGAGAAGGAACTGAAGCTGTATTTGATACGGATTTGTATGGGTTCTTATTCACTGTTCAAGATGTCAAGATGGTATGAATAAATACTGATTACCAAGAATTTTTAAACGAAATGGACAAAACGACTTATAAAAATCAGAAAGACATATGTTCGGTTGAGCTATTAATTTTGATCTCCTCTAATTTACAAGTAAAAAGAAAGAAAGAAAGACAAGACCCTGCTATAGATGACATGTGAACATTAGGGTCTTTACCTGAAATTTTGAGATTAATATGAATAGAACCATCTACTAGAATAACACAGCGGTTCTTTAATGTGGTTAATAATTGTTTTTGCACTGGCTAGGAATTGAAATAAACGTTTAACTTTTTCTTACGCTTCACGTTCTCCTTTGTCTCTCAATATTGAAAATGGACTAATTTGTACGTTAGGAGAAGATAACCAATTTCTCTGATCTCTTCTGTAAGTCGTTTGCGCGTATTTTTTTGCCCACAATGAAAAAATATAATCGGGTCTAGGTTTGTTGACTGATAATACACATTACTTCTTCTGTTTTCCCAGTATAGGTGCTTTCGGCCCTTGCCTACTACTTTTTTTCACGAAACAGTTACTGACTCTAACCACTTTTTGCACCAAAGCAGTGTATTCCCTTGGTGTTTCTTTTGGCAGGTCCATCGTATTAAGTAATTGCTTCCTTGCTTGCACAGTCGGAGCGACATTTTTGGTCACGAAATTGTTTTCCTTCGCTCCAAGAACGGCTGTTGGCCGGACTTGTATACCTGCCTGGGTCGAATTTCGTGGAGAATCCCAGAACACGGGACGTTCTAATGATATAATTCACTTCAATACGGAGAACCAGGTTTTTGCCATTTAAGAAGCAACACGAGACCTTTCTGCATTTCTAACTGTCAGAGTGCATTTTCAGTCAAACCAATACTACATGGAGTTTCCAACAATTGAGAGGGTCGGGGAGGGGGTGGGGGGGGGGGTGAGTAGGCTAGTGGAGTGCAACGCAATGTGGCCCCCGGGATGGGGGGGGGGCTCATTTCACGCCATTGCGTGTTGGGGGGGGGGGGAGGGTGCACGCTTGGCAGAGAAAGCTTAAAATATTAAGAACTTTACTAAATGAGAAAGAGTGAAAAAAAAGTTCCACAATGACCTTACACGCCAAGTGTCCCAGCTCCAACCTATTAATTAAAGTTAAATGAAAAAACAGAATTCAACGGAACGTAAAAGTGATAATTCTTCAAGTTTGCCCTGAATTGTTTCACAAATAAAAACAGCCTTCCATGATCAGCTCGGGTGAACAGCAAGAGCTACACTTAATAGAATATATTTTCTCATTAGACCTTAATGCACAACGAAATCACATATTAACACAAACATTCGTGTCAGGAGTGATATTCTGACGTGGAATGTAAGGCCACGCCAGCCGTGTCACTCCCCCGTGTGGGACGTGACAGAAAGGTGGGACATTATGTGGTAACTGACATTACCTGTTAGCCAAGTGTTTTGACATTGATGGGGCCGCGTGAGGGTGAAATTCCTAATTAATACATATATGGAAATAGTTTCAAAGAAGTAAGTGGATTTAATCCTGGCTCTAATGTTGAATAATAAGAGGCAGATATAAGGTTGTGATAACAGAACATTTGTGGTCTAATATAATTTCCAAATTGACTAATTTCTTTAAACAAGATAAGGTGTTATTCTATCTTAATTCATTAATTGTACTTCAGTCATATAATAATCGAGATACGTTATTGGTTTGTGCTTTTGCATTTAGTATCGTGTAATGCTGTCCATTATTGCAATTTCTCCTTCTAATAGTGCAGGGTGCCTTTATGTTTTTTTTTTTTTTTTTTTTTTTTTTTTTTTTTTTTTTTTTTTTTTTTTTTTTTTTTTT